AGGAACCCCGACCCCATAGGACCCCATAGGACCCCAAAGGACAGTGCCCCCTAATGGCGGCTGGACGTAACAACACCCATAGGGCCCCATAGGACAGCGCCCCCTGGTGGCGGCTGGACATAACAACACCCATAGGACCCATTAGGACCGCATAGGACAGCGCCCCCTGGTGGCGGCTGGACGTAACAACACCCATAGGGCCCCATAGGACCCCATAGGACAGCGCCCCCTATTGGCAGCTGGATGTAACAACACACGTGGGACCCCATAGGACCCCATAGGACAGCGTCCCCTGGTGGGGGATGGATGTAACAACACCCATAGGATCCCATAGGACCCCGTAGGACAGCGCCCCCTGGTGGGGGATGGATGTAACAACACCCATAGGATCCCATAGGAGCCCATAGGAGCTCATAGGACAGCGCCCTCTGGTGGCGGTGGGATGTAACAACACGCATGGGACCCCATGGGGCCCCATAGGACCCCATAGGACACCGCCCCCTGGTGGCGGTTGGTTGTAACAACACGCATGGGACCACATAGGACCCCATAGGACCCCATAGGACAGCGCCCCCTGGCGGCGGCTGGACGCAACAACACCCACAGGACCCCCGACCCCATAAGACCCCACAAAACCCCATAAGAAGAGCCCAGAAAACCCCCCAGCCGCCTCGTAGGCCAGACGTACCAAGGCCCTCTTGACGTACTCCTCCTGGGCCGCTTTGGTGTTCTCCTTTTTGCCGCTCCAGGCTTTGAGCGCCGAGGCCTGCAGCGCCCGCCCGTAGGAGAAGGTGAGCGCCCAGGGCCGGTGCAGCGGGCAGCGGTTGATGGCGTTCAGGTTGACGGACGCCTCCTCCTCACTCTGACCCCCAGACAGGAAGGTGATGCCTGGGGGGGAGACGTAACAACACCCATAAGACCCCAAAGGAACCCATAGGACCACATTGGACCCCATTGCACAGCGCCCCCTGGTGGCGGCTGCATGTAACAACACCCATAGTATCTCCGAACCCATAGGACCCCATAGGACCCCATAGGAGCCCATAGGACAGCGCCCCCTGGTGGCGGCTGGATATAACAACACCCATAGTATCCCCGACCCCATAGGACCCCATAGGACAGCGCCCCCTGGTGGCGGCTGGACGAAACACCCATGGGACCCCATAGAACCCCATAGGACCACATAGGACCCCATAGGACCACATAGGACCCCATAGGAGCCCATAGGACAGCGCCCACTGGTGCTGGCTGGATGTAACAGCACCCATAGTATCTCCAACCCCATAGGACCCCATAGGAGCCCATAGCACAGCACCCCCTGGTGGCAGTGGGATGTAACAACACCCATAGGACCCCAAAGGAACCCATAGGACTGCATTGGACCCCATTGCACAGCGCCACCTGGTGGCGGTTGCATGTAACAACACCCATAGTATCCCCGACCCCATAGGACCCCATAGGACAGCGCCCCCTGGTGGCGGCTGGACGTAACAACACCCAGAGGACCCCATAGGAACCCATTGCACAGCGCACCCTGGTGGCAGTGGGATGTAACAACACCCATAGTATCTCATAGGACCCCATAGCACCCCATAGCACAGCGTCCCCTGGTGGCGGCTGGATGTAACAACACCCATAGTATTTCCGACCCCATAGGACCCCATAGGACAGCGCCCCCTGGTGGTGGCTGAATGTAAGAACACCCATAGGACCCCATAGGACAGCGCCCCCTGGTGGTGGCTGACGTAACAACACCCATAGGACCCCATAGAACCCCATAGGACCACATAGGATCCCATAGGACAGCGCCCCTGGTGGTGGCTGAATGTAAGAACACCCATAGGACCCCATAGGACCCCATAGGACAGCGCCCCTGGTGGCGGCTGGATGTAAGAACACCCATAGGACCCCATAGGACCCCATAGGACAGCGCCCCTGGTGGCGGCTGGACGTAACAACACACATAGGACCCCATAGGACCCCATAGGACAGCGCCCCCTGGTGGCGGCTGGACATAACACCCACAGTATCCGCGACCCCATAGGACCCATACGAGCCCATAGGAGCCCATAGGACAGCGCCCCCTGGTGGCGGCTGGATGTAACAACACACACAGGACTCCATAGGAGCCCATAGGGCCACATAGGACCCCATAGGACCACATAGGACCCCATAGGACAGCGCCCCCTGGTGGTGGCTGGATGTAGCAACACCCATAGGACCCCATAGGACCCATTGCACAGCGCCCCCTGGTGGTGGCTGGATGAAACAACACCCAAAGGACCCCATAGGAGCCCATAGGACAGCGCCCCCTGGTGGTGGCTGACGTAACAACACACATGGGACCCATAGGACCCCATAGGACCCCACTGCATAGCGGGATGCTCCTATGGGGTTGGGGTCGCTCCTATGGGGCTGGTGATGCTCATATGGGGCTGGGGTCGCTCCTATGGGGTTGGGGCCGTTCCTATGGGGTTGGGGATGCTCCTATAGGGATGGGGCTGTTCCTATAGGGATAGAGACCCCATGGGGCCATTCCTATGGGGTGGAGCCATTCCTATGGGATTGGGGATGCTCCTACGGGGTTGGGGCCATTCCTATTGGGATGGAGCCCCTATGGGGCCGTCACTATGGGGCTGGGGATGCTCCTATGGGGTTGGGGTCGCTCCTAT